AAAGGATTGGCCTCTCCTGTGGTTTCCTGTGAAGAACAAGGACAAAGAGAAAAGAGGAAAACTGGATTACAGAGGATTGATCAGAACAAAAAGAACAGAGAGAACAGGGAATTGAACAGAGAGGAAGCACAGACAGAACAGAACAAAGGAACAGAGGTAATAGAGACTGAAAACAAAGCGAACATAGGGAACATCGAGAACAGATATTGAACAGAACACAGACGGAACAGAGGGAACAGAGGTCGAAAACCCTCGCAAAATCACGGAGAGCTCAGTGGATTTGGAGCTCCCTCCGTTCGCCTTTGTTCGAACGGGTCACCCAGCTGGGTTGTTGAATGGAGGATCCTCGGAAACAAACTCACATTCAAGCATTGTGTCGCTGGGGTGGGGTGATCCAACGGTCCTTGACTGATTTGTTCTGACGCCAATGTCCGGGTAGCTGGGAAGACTATCATCTAAAGAACGCACCTTCATTTGTTCCGCTGCCAATAGACAGCTTTCTGAGCGCTTTAAAATTAGGATGGTTTTTCAGACTCGATACCATCCAACGCCTCTTGAAAGAAGATTCCCAAGTGAACCACTATGAACAATTGAGTTTGTCAGGGGCTTTGGCCCAACCCTGCCCCTTATATGGGGAAGACTCATGGCTGCTAACCGCATGCTGGGGACAAACTCGGTTATAGGTTAGAGGTTCAGTTTTGGGCAAATTGATTTTCGGCGACTCGAAGTGGCGTGGCCTCCTTGTTTAAGTCGGTTGTCCGCACACCTGGACCTGAGGAGCAGCAGACTAGTGCATGGGCTCTAAGTGGGTGTGTGGAAGTGGGTGGAAGTGTGTTTGCATGTGTGAGCACACTACATTGACTTTACACAAATGCATGTGCATGCTTACATGCACGCACTACAAAAAAAATAAATCAATTACATATTTGTATATATATATATATGTATACACATATGTGTACAGTATATGAAACACATACACAGTTTATGTATGCATTCATTTATATTTTCCCCCAACAGCTGAAAGCTTTGGGGTCCCAGCCCATTTAGCTCCGCGGTGGTCCGGGGCAGCCCTGAGGTAAGGTTCCACGAGGGTTCCGCGAGGGTTCCTCGAGGTTCTGCGAGGGCTGCGGGGTAGTGCGAGCACTAAAAAGAGCACCGCATGCTGTTGGGGATATCACCTGAGCTTATTTTGCTCAGGTGCTGAGCGCCGCGGGGTACGGCATCTCCCAGGTGGAGAAGGCAATGCAGGCCACGCGCATGTCACGGAGCTGGATCCTAGCCTCCCATTCATCAATGGAAGACCATGTTTCTCCAAAATGGACCTGGTGAGTTACTTGTTAATGGACATTTGGGCAAGTATTGGGATCCCTACATTCCCCTTTCCAGCCGGTTTAAACATCACCTTTGAGGCCCACTTGAGGCCCACTTTCAGGTGAGTTTCCGTTTAAGGAGGAAATGTAGGGAGCCCTGAAATAGGCCGTACGCCCAACAGCTGAAAGCTGCGGGTTCTCTGCCCAGATAAGGTCCGGATAGGTTCGGAGCAGCTTTCTGGGCGGGGTTCCAACGGTTCCGGACTAGTCGGGATCAGATACCAGAAGGGAAACCAAAGGTGGTGGGGAATTGGTCAATTTGTCCAGACCATCCTTGCGGATTCGCAGTATGTTGTCAACGCGCTTGGAACGTGTGTATTCCTCCCAAGATACATTTACAGGTGGGTGTCTTTTGTCAAACCGATCTGATTTCGCTACTGGTTGATTGCTGGCCCCCAGGGCCAGTTCCGTGGACACGGGTCAAGTCCCACAGGCCGATTTATGAAGCTGCGAACGCCATTGTCTGGCGGATTCTTTGCGATTGCAAGGGGAAACGGGCATGTCTTTGCATTGGAGATTCACGGAATCTAGCAGCTTCACTCCACATTGTCTCTAGAGGGCTCCACTAAAACAGAACCACCCCGGTGTTTGGCCATCGAATCGTAAACGTCGCAGGAACTGAGGGGATCCAAGAAGGTGGACACCCAAACGGGGGACGAGAACTTCGAGGCAGGCCTCGGGGCTGGGCCTTCCCAGGTTTTCCTACGGAATGTGACGTTTTGTGCAATACGTGGAATGAGGGCTTTCGTTTTGAGTGACGTCTCGGTTGGAAACAACAGCTTGCGGCTGGATTCGACCAAGCGAAGCAAATTTGAAGGGTCCTTGAGATCGCGTCGCGCTTTGAGACGGGAGGTTTGGGCTGGAGCTCCAAACCCAAGGCATCCCGAGGAAGCCCTTGATTTCATCGGGGAGCTCAAGCGACTAGTGTGCCCAAAGGGGCTCATCCCTTTAAGCGAAGAGTTAGTTGTTTGCCATGAAATGCCAGGGCGGGGCTTGGTTCCTACGCTTCCATGATACTTGCAGGGCCCTTTAAATAAAAACACTGCCATTTGGAAGGCACGCTTTCCAGTGGTATCACAGTGGAAAGCCGGTCAGAAGTCGTAAACTCCCAAAATCTTTGAAAAAAC